CTCACAGCTCTCGGCCAGTCTGTGACGAGAACCAGAACGATGAGGGTGGGAGCAACCGTCGCCGCCGCCGTCCTTGTGGCTTCCTTGGTCGCCTCTGTGGTGGCTGACCAGGCCATCGACAAAGACGAGGGAGTACTGGTGCTGAAGACGGGGAATTTCAAGAAGGCGATAGAAGATAACGAATTTATCCTGGTCGAATTCTGTGAGTATGATCGGTGTTATTTTTTTTTTTTTTTTTAATCCGAATTGGTATTACCGACCGGCCAGATTGTGTCCGGGTGTTTTTTAACGAGAGGAGAATGACTCGCCTGCTGTCACGTATTAGTTGCCGAGATCGGGATGGCAAAGAGGCCGAGACTCTAAGGAAAAGAAAAAAAAACTCGTTCGCGATCTCTTCATTCAGCGCTTTAAAACTGACAGTCGAAACATATGGACTTAACCCTTCCCTCCCGAGTCGCAATACCGCCCTCACAAGATGACAAGCCTGTGCATCTGTTCTCAGGTCTGCCTCATTATGCATTTAAGCCGCGGGGAGGGCGAGCCGCTCCCTCACGTGCAGGAGGAAGGGGCGTCTGGATCCCGAAGGAGGTGGGCGGGGTGACGTGGCACAAGCACGGCCACCGGTCTCTGCTCCCGGCGTGCACGTCAGCCAGCCAGCATCATTTTTTCCTGCAGTTGATCGTGGACGGCGGGCAGGGGCTGGGAGAATGGCAAGGGGGGAGGAATGCGCGGGGAATGAGCGTTTTCTTCCGCTAAAGGGGTCTGAATGGCGTCGGTCCATTAGCGGAGCACTCAGACCTGTTGGGGTTAATTCGGCACGCCTTGCACGTAGTCATTGAGGAGTGCAATTACTGGCGTCGCCTGACATGGCCCACGTATACCCGGGGAAACGTCATCTCGAATTATCTTCCGGTGTCTAAAAGTTTGATATTAAAACCATCGCTTCAATATTTCAAATTTTAATCTCGGCGAAATGAAATCTCTTAATACGGCCATAATTTTTAAGGAGCACGTGTCATGTAGAGCGAAGATGCCAAGTGTGTGGGCAGAATTACCGGGTGTTTAAACTCCTGCTGAAGTTCACGGTCACTGTTGCGTGGAGGCGGCAAGCCCCCGGGCCTGATCGCGGGGGCGACACAGCTCGCTTTGGAAACGGTGATGGAAACGGGTTTTCCGATGGTGCTCCGGCGATGGGGACCGCACCTTCTCGTGCAGGAATGACCGCGGCTGGCCTCGTTGTCGAAACTGAGGAGCGGCGAATCGCGGATCAGCGAATCCTGCACCGGGGGAACGAGGGAAGGGGTTGAAGGAGGCGGAAAGGACTCGGGGGAACGGAGAAGGCGGCGGGATCGCCTTGCGGGTGAACGACCGCCGCCTCACGCTGCCATGCCTCGCTTCTCGCACCTCGCGCCTCCTCGCCAAGGGATGGCGGACCGTTAATCAGCGACATGTGCGGAAGGAATGACGGAAGCGGGTTGAAGGATGTTGACACTTGGGAGTTTCAATGGAAAGCTATACCATATGTTGCCAATGTGTACTATATACACCTCCCTTTAGGACTTGGATAGGGTTGATAGGGGATACTTAAGCATTTAATTTCCTGACTAGCTGTAATAGAAACTAATAAATTTGTGCTATATTACATGTCTATTTTTATTTTTCAGATGCACCATGGTGTGGACACTGCAAGGCTCTTGCCCCCGAATATGCCAAAGCTGCTGGAAAGCTTGCAGAAATGGGATCTGCTATTGCACTGGGCAAGGTTGATGCCACAGAGGAAACTGATCTTGCAGAAGAGCATGGTGTTCGAGGTTACCCCACCCTCAAGTTCTTCCGTTCTGGCAAATCTGTCGACTATGGTGGTGGTCGTCAGGCTGACGATATTGTCAACTGGCTTTTGAAGAAGACTGGTCCTCCTGCAAAGCCTTTGGCTACTGTAGATGATGCCAAGGCCTTTATTGCTGAAAAGCCTGTTGTCATTATTGGTTTCTTCAAGGACCAGCAATCTGATGCTGCCAAGCAGTTCTTGGCTGCTGCATCGGCCACTGATGACCATCCATTTGGAATTACCTCAGAGGAAGCTTTGTTCACTGAGTATGGCCTGAGTGCTGATGGTATTGTCCTCTTCAAGGACTTTGATGAAGGCAAGAATGTATATGAGGGTGAGGTGACTGAGGATGGTGTATCCAAGTTTGTTGCTGCTAACTCTCTACCCCTTGTTGTGGACTTCAACCACGAAACTGCATCAAAGATCTTCGGTGGCGATATCAAGTCCCATCTCCTTATCTTCCTGTCAAAGGAAGCTGGACATTATGATACACACCTGAGTGCTGCCACTGCAGCTGCTAAGGGCTTCAAGGGAGAAGTTCTCTTTGTGACCATTAACACAGATGAGGAGGATCACTCTCGTATCCTCGAGTTCTTCGGCATGAAGAAGGATGAGGTGAGTATCTTGTATTAGTATGTCTTGTGTTTGAGTTAGTGCTATATTGTAATATCAATTTGTCTGAAAACATTCCTTCTCACTGATAGAGGGGGTTATTTTATAGGTGTAGCACTATTTTTGATATGCAAAAATAAGCAGTATATTAATCAACATGGTTTTCCAGATCCCAGGCCTCCGTATTATCAAGCTAGAGGAAGATATGGCCAAGTACAAGCCCGACGCTTATGACCTCAGTGAGAGTGGGCTTGTCGGCTTTGTCCAGAGTTTCCTTGATGGAAAGCTGAAGCAGCACCTTCTGTCTCAGGATCTTCCAGAAGACTGGGATAAAGAGCCAGTCAAGGTAAGTTTTTCAAAGTGTATACAAGATTTTGAAATATGGAGTGGGATTATGCTTTCAGTATTAAAAGTAATAGGTTTGAAATAGTGTGAACAAATGATTAATGTAGATATTTGTGCCTTTAATATCATGACAGCACTATTGTGCTATGAGAATGGAATGCAGGAAGGGTGTGTAGTTTACTAGAAAGGATTTCAGGATTATCAGTACTATGTACTTTCTCAATATAGATGTCCAGAAAGAATTTTCATTAGTCAGATGAAATAGGAAATATAATGTAATTACACTATTTCAGGTTTTGGTATCCTCCAACTTCGATGAGGTTGCCTTGAACAAGAAGAAAGACGTCCTTGTAGAGTTCTATGCACCATGGTGTGGACACTGCAAACAGTTGGCACCTATCTATGACCAGCTAGGTGAAAAATACAAGGACCACGACACTATTGTTGTGGCGAAAATGGATGCTACAGTCAATGAGCTTGAGCATACGAAGATTCAGTCCTTCCCTACATTAAAACTTTACAAGAAGGAAACTAATGAGGTAAGATTGACGTCTCAATGTATGAAAGATTTAATTTTTATGAAAATTGTGGAACCTTGGAATATGAAATATATAATTTCTTGGTTTTGAATTCCAGGTAATTTGAAATGCCCTACTTGTGCTATAGAGTAATCCTGCTTTTGGGAAATGCTAAAACATTTTATATGGAGTTGATGGAAGTGATTAAAAATGGAAATTTTGATAATCACTAAGATTAGTTTCATGATTCACACTGGCAGTACTTTATCAGTAAATGTCTTAAAAAGCATGTTCCTATTTGCAGGATTTATCATTATACAAGTTTAATATTTAATGGCCATTTATTTAGGTTGTTGAATACAATGGAGAACGCACATTGGCTGGAATGTCCAAATTTTTGGAAACTGATGGGGTTTATGGCCAAGCGCCACCTGAGGATGAGGTAGGAATTGATGCAAAAGCCAAAATGCATTCCGAGGGCTGTTTTGTAGCTACAGCATCACCTGCCGCACTTTACTCCTTTAACGAAACCTAACATTTTGACCCATCTTGTGCAGATTGGGCAGTTGATGCCAAGCACTACGATTCTTAATGTTTGGTGTCGTTTTTAGAAGTAACTTTTGCTGACTTTCATGCAGACTTAACACTCCTTGCCCCTTTTTATAGGTTGTAGATTACAATGGAGCACGGACTTTGGAGGCCCTCAGTGATTTCCTTGAGGGCAAATCTGTGGATGATCAGGTACTTTGACATAGCATCTTTCTATAAATTCTATTGCATGATCTGTGGTATAGTTGCCATTCCAGGACTGTTTAGATTTCTTTACCAAGACCCATACTGTAGATTACCATGAATTGGAACTGTATCAAAGGATATTAAGACTTTTCTTCCTCGGAGCTTTCCTGCACTTATTTTGAACCCTTGCTTTTTGCCCCAAATGAAATTGCTTTGCAAGTTTTTGAAAATTCATGAAATATTGATATAATGTAGTGGAATGTGGGTTTCAAACTATTTAATTTTATATTGTCAACTTTCAGGATGATGAGGAGACTGACGAGGATGGTGATGTGCCAGCAAAGGATGAACTTTAAAAATGTTGAAAGTTGTTTTACGAGAGACAAATTGCTTTTGGTCCTAGCAGTATGACTACTGGGAATGGATTTAAATTTTCTTGGATCCCATGGAAAAATCAATCGAATAAGGGAAAGTAGTCTGTCTGGATTGCTGGGATCAGTGCTATAAAAAATTCCGTACTTGATATCGAGTATTAACATCAGTGTACTTCTGTAGTGTTCAGTCAATTTGGTTCAAAGTGATCTGAAAAAAGTTTTTATTTTTGACTACAGACATTCCTAATCATTAAGATATATTTTTTGTACTTGGGGCATTCTAATATTTGTGACTGGAATAGGGAATGGTACAAATCTGTTGATTAACAAGAAATGCTCTAAATTAGTATATGTAACAACTTCATCCAAGGCTATGCAGGTGTGTGGATGACATTGATGCTTGTCAAGTTATTATTATTGTTTAATTTTGACCCAAGCCTTGATAGCTTCAATGTCTTCCACCAACTATCTCCCTGTACTTGGCACAATGCTTCCCGTGGCCGTGTGTTGTGTGAGTGTAAATGATGACAAAGGTCCTTGTGCAGTGTATGAATATACCAGTGACTTTTCCAATAAAAGGAAAAAGGGTGTGCTTTTTTATTAAATATGTCCTTTTTAATTTTTAAAGTACAGGTGACTTGCAAGAAATTGAAATGCATTTTGAAATTCTCACTTACCTGAAAAGGAAGTTTCCCTTGACCAATATACAAGTAATCCTTACAATTTCTATTGATGAAAGGAGTCACTGCTGTATCTTGACTACCCTTTGCAAAGTTTTGTATAAAATGGAACAAGTTGCAGAATAACTGATTATTGCTTGTTGTATAGAACTTGTATGGAGAAAACCCTAAAACTTGCTATAACCTACCTTGTTTAACAACTTGTATACCTTGCAATATACTAAATGTGGCTTTTGTAAGTACTTAACATCTCAAGCTACAAGTTTGACATGTATATGCCTTAAGGTCTTGCTTTACATTAAATGTAGTGTTGACAGTATCCCCTAAAGCTTTTCTTGCACTTGGCAGATTTGTTCTTTCACAACTGTATGAACCTGCTCCAAGTAAATTTACTTTATGGTGCTAAAAATTTGGGTGATACAGCAGATTTAAAGTTAAATCAATTTGGGGTGTTAAGTTACAAGATTTACGTAGATCTCAATCTGGGTACATGTTTAATGCCTTGTTTCTTGAATTTTGATTTTTGACTTTAAATATTAGCAATGCTAATGATTAAAAAAAAGGGGGGGGAGTGAAGGTTAATTGGTTCACATTAGGCAGGTCTATTAATTTGACTAAAGCCCTTGTGCTCCACACATTTAAACGGCCTAGATAGACAGGTCAGTACAGAAGGAACACTTCATTTGTATATGACTTAGAAAAAAGTGATTTAGAATTTGATGCATGATACATTAATCTAAAGTTGATCTCCTATATCTTGATTTGATAATTGATAGCTATTGGAGAAGTAAAATTTAATTGTTTGGCACAGCTTTCAGAGTATTGGGTTTAATAGTTATCTAGTATCTTTCCCTTTTCTGGGATCTGCATACTCAGGAAAAAGTCCCAACTATTTTTCAAGGCATATTCCTCAATTTTTCAGTAGTTCATGTAATTAACTGACTTGGTAGATAATTTTGGCAAATGAGGAAAATAAAACTTGTATACACCTTGTTCTACATGGGAATTACATGGTGATATATGCTGTACGAACACACAACCTTTGTTTTTGCCTATAGAAAGAAATGTTTCCTAAAGGGGGGAAAAAAATGCTGCAATTGAAATATTGACCTGGTTGATATATGTGCAAGATACCTTTCTAAATTTATGCAAAATTGTATGCATGTGTACATGATCATTATACATAGGATTTGTATCATTTTCACAATTTAGTTTAAGGTGAACATTCAAACAAACTTGAGCAAATGCAGCATGTTTTCCCTGATTTCATTTTAAATTACTCACTTAGGCTCTTTGGAGCAGTATTCTTTGCCAATGAATACACACAAAAATATTGTGTATATATTTCACATTGATATCTCATTTCTGTGATCTTTATTTTTGCAATATATAATTCTCCTATACCTACATGTATTATTATTGCTTATCCATTGATCTTTTTTTTCTTACTAATTCTAGACACAACTTCAAGCAAATTAATAACTGCTTAATTAGTCATCTGCCAATTGTTTGGGGGAAAAAAACTATTAAAATTGTGTATAGGAAGTTGCTGTTGTGATTAAATCTCCTTCATGCAGTCAGATTATTTTCAACAGTATCTCTTAACCAAAAATTCCCCCAATTCTTTACTCATTGTTGTGGGGTGGAGGGAGCTTAGGAGTCAGAGACGGGCTCAATATAGGGGATTACCCCCAACCTTAGATCTCAAGACTTCACCACAATTAATTTTGCATCGTGAGCCATGCTAAAAGAATGAGAGGCTAGATCAGACCTGAATTGCCTTCGTACTCTATTAGCTCTTCCCTCTTTACCCATTTCACTAGCATACTTACCTAGTGCGCACTACAACTTTTGATATCTAACATATTTTGTCCTAATTCATTTATTCATTTTTACTCCCTTTGCCACAACACTTTTATCATAGTGCTTTGATATCTGGCATAGTTATTTGTTTTGACCTTTAACCATTCTGGGACTCCACAAACATCACCTTATGAACCAAAAAAACTTCCTTATCCAGGGGCTTCACCACATATGCATCACCCTTTACTTATATTTTGAATATGCCGCTAATGCCCTTACATGTTGATGTGGCAGAAAATGTTCAATAAATAACCAAAAATTGGTAGATATAGATGATCAAAGAAGCAAAAATCAACAACTAAATTCTGGATTTTTTATATAGATACCAGCATTATGTGAATCGGTAAATAACATCCAATAACTTTTATTTATTACTTTTTTTTCTACTTGTGGATGGCTCAACCTCTGCTTTGAGATTAAATGACAAGATTATTACTTGTGTTGCTCTCAGTTAATTAAGATTATTTGTAATGGAACCAATTCACTAGTTGTAATCATACTTAATATGGTAATTTAGCGGTGTAATTCAGTATACATAAAATATATGTTTCTATTCACAAATGATACAGAAAACAGTTCTACCAACATTATTACTTTAATTCAGACCAATATATTACAGCATATATATATATATACAGATCTGTACATACATAAAACTATAAATGCACCATTTGCTTTTATAAATAAATACTAAAAAATATTTAAAACCAAACCAACAGACATAATTTTTGAGCAGTAATAAAATATCTACGCAGCAATAACAATGATGACCGGAGTATACATTATCATTCAATGTACAACCCACTTACACATTATGAAGATATTTACCAAGTCTTGAATGCAAGTACCATAAATAAATAGTGTACACCGAGATCCGAAATTGGGCCCAAGTCTCCGCAATGGTGATTTTACTCTTGCATAGGAAGGACTTGCATGATAATCTCTGCTGTTCGAAGAGTGACCTGATGCAGCAACGTGACATGGTTATGAATGATGTCATGCTGTAAAAAAAAACAAAAAAACAAGGACTTCAGTTACACTAAGGGGAAAACGGCTATTGCACCGAATGTGGTCGTATCTCTTACTTATATATTTACACCCAGGGGGACCACTCCTGAAATTAACTTAACATGAATTTTGAGAAGCCATTATTAATCCCTTGTGTTGAAATAGAGTCACATATATGACTCGGCCACTGTGATTTTAGTTTATCAATCAAGATTACACACAGATGTCTCAACAAGTATGTTATCACCATAGAGTCAAACACCAGTCCCTGCCTATCTCATGTTTACCTTTTTCCTTGATGTATGGAAAGATTTTTTTATTCTTTTTAAGCCTGATGAGTATTTTAATAACAAAGTAATAATCATAATGACAACAATAATAAAAATATTGATATTACTTGCATTAAAAAAAATTAAATATTCAAGGAAAGGGGATTTCATGTGAGTTCATGCAGTGGTCTGTTAATTGGCTTGTTGGTGGCTGAACACTTGTGGAGTCATCTGTGTGCAACAAATTTCACAGTAAATGTACCCCTGGACAAAAACACAGCAGATACATCTACTAGTCAATCATCTACAACTGGCATAAATAAATAAATAAAAACACAAACTCCATTGATTCAAATTTTACATTGGGAGAGAATATTTATTTATAACCAATATCCCAACAAATTCACACATTGCAATAGTTTTTAAAAAAATATATACATATATTGCATACAAATTTTAACACAGCTATATAGTGGATGGCATTACTGTATTTCATTAAAACACAATGGAAGCATCCTACCTTTCTTGAGTATTGAGGGAAAATTCAATGCCCCTTAGTAAATCATTTGTCTTGAAGATGAGCAGCATCTGTCGTGGGACTCGATTCAACACGGCTGATATTTCTGGCAAGTATTTAGCTGCATCTGCCTTAATCTCATCTTGCTGTGGAAAGAAAAGAGAATGAGGTCAATAAAAAACATGATCTTTAACTACTATTCTTTAGCTTCTGCAACACTGCTATCCCTATTAATAACTTGCTTTATCTATGGGTAATACATGGCAAAAAATAGAGATTTTAGCAATCATGCAAGTTTTGAAGACATGTCTTAGAATACCCTAGGATATACCCTAGCTTAAAATCAGAAAATAAATGTCTTACAAGAGAAAGGTGTGTAAATATTGAAAAGTACCGGAAAACACATTCATGAGACAGCTACAATGCAATGCATTATTCTTGGATCATGAATGCATGTTTTGAGGCAGTTTTGGTAAAGCTATTGAACTAATCTCTTAAGCAATTATTATTGTTTTGAAATGCATTTGCTCTTAGTGCATAATCCTCATTAAATTTTGCTAAATCAAAGCAATACTGTGCAGTGCAACTAATGTGTATGCAAATTCCTCATTCTCAAATGCCCTGCATCTGACAGCCAAGGGCTTGCTATTGGAAACTTAAATAATAATACATGGGTCTTGCTAGTAATATATGATATAATGTTCTCTACACAAGGTCAGCAAAATAATGAGTGCATATATCAAGCACAACATTATACATATTTCATCTAAGTTCCACTACTCATAAAATTTATTTGAAAAGAAAAAAACTTTTCACAAATTGTCTCCTGTAATTTTTTTAACTACCTGATTATCTCTTGTACCGACCAAGAACCAAAACAATCAATGCCTTCTTTTAATCATCTACCATATGAGAAATTTCAAAACAATGACATACAAGCTACTTCAATTTCAAATAAAATAAAGGGAAAACCATCCAACATACAGATACATCAACTAGTAACAATCACTGTATTACTGCTTACCTCATCTGAAGACCTCTCCTTTTTGTCAATCCCTCTGGATATAGAGTCCCATGAGCGAGCAGTAACCATGCAGGCGAACAACCCAAACAGTTCTCCGACACCAAGTTGCTCTCCGTATTTTTGTACTTCCTTCAGGTCTGCATTCAAAATGCTTAACCAGAATTTACTGTATGTTACTCTAAAGTCATTGGTTAAATTCTGAAATAAAAGCAATTACTTGTTTATAA